AGAGCTCTGTTGTTTAGCTCTTTGAAAAAAATCCTCTCCGCACCCATAAAAAATATGTTCTAACATATAAAATATGTTGGTACCCAACAAATAAAATTGAGTTATGTTACAAAATGTTGCAAACAAATATTTGTTTGCACCGAAACAAATTATGTTTGCATCCAAAAATATATTTGTTTGCAACCAGTCCCAAACAAATATATGTTTGGATCCAAACATATTTCTAACATATATTTTTCTGCGTGTAGTAACAGTCTATAGCAGATGAAGGCCGTGAAAAACTTCAGCCCGTACTGATCCACAAATTGTGAGAGAAATAAAAAACAACTATTTAAGAGTTCAACTGGATTGGTGAGAGAGCAATCATTGGATATAAGCTCGAGATCTGTGCGTAGACGAGTAGTGGCAGCTGGTCTGCATGTCCGTAAAACATCAAAAAACCATTTATATCTGAAAAAATCAAAAAGGCTTTCGGAAACGATAATATTAAGTGGAATCAAGCCCAATGGAAAAAAAAACATTATTTCTGGGATGAGTCTACGTTTAATATTAAAGGCTCAGACGTGAAAAATTTTACGGTGAGAAGGCCCAAAAATGAAGGACTCAAGCCGCAGTGTTGCAATGGTACAGTGAAGCATGAGGGAGGGTAAAAAATGGCGTGGCGCTGTTTTTCTTTCTATGGACTTGGGCCTATCCATAAAATAAAGAAAGTTGTGGATCGGTTTTTTTACAAAGATGTGTTGGACATCACGTTGTTCCCTTACGCTGAGTAAAATATTCGGCTGATTTGGGTGTTTCAGCATGACAATGATCCCAAACTTGTATCAAAACTTGTCAAATATTGGTTGCGGGAGTCAAAAATTCATGTTTTATTATGGCCGGCACAATCACCTGACCTAAACTCCTTAGAAAACCTTTGGAGTATCGTAGATAGGAAGATCAAGAGAAATTCGGAAATAAATAAGCACAACATTTTCTAAAGAATTCGGGGTGCCTGGGAAAGCACACCCAAGGATCAAATTGAGCGTGTTATAGATTCAATGCCTCGTAGGTGTGCAGCTGCTATCAAAAATAATGGCTATGCTATTGACTACTAGCCAAAATTTAATTATTTTAAAATAAAAAATCAAAAGTTGCTGTCCGTCCGTTTGTTGTACTCTTGCTAATCTTCGAATAAGCCGTATGTATCAGTTCCTCCTTATAGTCGGTAATTTTTACGATTTTAGGTACAATATTCAACGAAATTATTCTAAATGTCGTATTTGAAGTTCCTGATAGGTACTACAGCCTGTGACATGAAATTGGCTATGTAGGTCCACGTCCTCGTATGGACCCCATGTAACGGATTTTAACAGAATTTTTAACGGATATATTTAATTTCTAAATTCGTTCCCAATGGTGGAGGGTATTCAAAGTTCGGCCCAGCCAAACAAATTTAGTACCATTTAGTACGATTCGCACACTTGGTACACATTTCCAAAATCACCTTCATAAATATCAAACTTACTTTCCAACCTTGATTCTCATACCAAAATTTCAAGTGTTTTAAAATTTCAGACTCATTCCGTTTGTCCAAGACAAAGTATTAAATTTTTAGTGCTTTTCGTACCATTTTAGTGCGAGGCTGATTTTCCAAGAACCTAGGCTGATCAAACGCTCAAGATTTTCTCACGTATACAATTTTAAGATTCTAGCTTTCCGTTTGGGCTTTAATTCTGAGTCAATCAGCCAGTTATAGAATTCTGTATTTTGATATTATTTGAAATTTGAGTCAGAGTTTTTTTTCTTTTTTTTTGGGATTTCAAGACAATAATATATGATTTCATATGGTGGTGGGCATAAAAAGGTCGGCAGGTTCGAAGTTGAAACCATTTTTACTTGGTTTTCTTATGCCCTATCATATCCAAATATTTTTGCCAACACTAGATCTAATAGAAATATATGTTTCCGCAAGAAAAAAAAAAATAAAAACAAGTAAAAAAGCTGTAAGTTCAGCCGGGCTGAACTTTGAATACCCTCCACCATTTGGTACAAATTTGGCAATTTCCAAGAAAATAAAATCCGTTAAAACATCTGTTAAAATCTTATAAATACCGAATGTACCCGTATATTAGGTTCTATACGACGACGTGGACCTGCGTGGGCAACTTTTGTCACAAGCTATTACAATATTCAAATACGAAACTTGCAAAAAAATCTGTTTATAATGTAGCTAAAATCAACAAAATACCGAATATAGGGAGGTACCATGGGGGTTATAAATCGTGGACCTGCACAGCCAATTTTCTGTCAAAGGCTGTAGTATACATTATGATCTTCAAATGCGAAAGTTTAAACAATTCCGGTAAATAACGTCGCTAAAATCATCCAAATACCGAATATCGGGGGGTACCGTGGGGGCTATAAGAAGACGTGGACCTCGAAATTCAAATACCAAATTTGAAAAGGTTCTGGTAAATAATGCCGCTTAAATCATCAAAATACCGAATATGTGGGGTACCGTGATATGGGGGCTATACGATTACGTGGACATGCACAGACAATTTTCTGTCATAGGCTGTAGTATTCATTACGAAATGCCAAATTTGAAACAATTCCGGTAAATAATGTCGCTAAAATCATCAAAATACCGAATATCGGGGGGTACCGTTATATGGGGGCTATACAAAGACGTGGACCTACATGACTCATTTTCTGTTTTATGCCGTAGTATCTATTACGAACTTCAAATACTAAGTTTAAAACAATTCCGGTATATAATGTCGCTAAAATCATAAAAATACCGAATATCGGGAGATACCTTTATATGGCCCATTTTCAGCCCAAAAGTCCTGCGGACACACATTTGAGTAAAATTTTATCAACCTACTTCATTTCGTTCGGAAGTTAGAGTGATTTCCATAGGCGGACAGACGGATGGACATTGCTAAATTGACCTAGAATTTTATGCTGATTAAGAATATATTTACTTTGTGTGGCCTAAAATGTATATTTCGAGGTGTTACAAACGGAATGACAAAATTAATATTCCCTCCGTACTATGGTGGAGGGTATAAGAACACGTAAAATAGCAACTAAGTTCGGTCGGCCGAATTTTTAATACCCTCCACCATTTTGAAGGAGAATGAAAAATTTCCCAAAATCCCGTCCAAAAATACCGCTTAAAGGAAAACCGTAGTAAGGGGATATACGGAGTCGTGGTTCTGCATGTTTATTCATCGGCTTTAAATAAAAAAATTTGAAACACTTCCTGTCAATAATGTCGCTATTATCATCAAAATACCGAATCTCGGGAGGCACCGTTATATCTGGGCATTACGATATCGTGGACCTATTAAGACAATTCTCTTCCAGGGGTAAAGTTCTCAGAAGGATCTCTTTGTGTTCATTTTCAGAAAATCCCATTGAAAAATGTGGCTAAAATCATCAAAATATCGAATATCGTAACGGGGGTACCGTTGTTTGGGACTATACGATATAGTGGACCGACATAGCCCATCTTCGAACTTGACTTGCCTGCGGACAAATCACTATTCTGTGCAAATTTTAACTTACTATCTTATTTCCTTTTGACTCTAGCGTAATTACAACAGACCGACGGCCGGAAGGGGCTAAATCGTCTTAGTATATACGCTTATCTAGTTTAACATTATTATTTCGATGAGTTACAAACGGAAAGACCAACTAAATATACCATCCATATGGTGTAGGAAATACCCAACGAAGCCTAAGCTGCTCACTTAATGGCTGATGCATCAATAAAGTTTACCGTAAAACCCGTTTGTGTTCGAAAGCCTCTTAAGATTGTTGTCCAATTAAAACCCATTACGAACGTGGACTATATCGTCGTACTTTGTCTGAAGAATCTCTCCAAAACGTGCTAATTAGAAATGGAATTAAGTTTTTCAACGCGTTCTCGAGGTCATGGAAATCTCTGATATAGCATGACATGTTTCCAATTGTAGTCAAATATAAATCAATTTTTAATGTGGACTTTATCGTCCTACTGTTTTGGTACCACAAATGATAAAAAGAATACAAATTTTGCAAATATTCCAAACTCATATAAAACGAAAGCAGTGCCCTATTCAATTGAACTATTTACATCTTAATTATATTATCTTAATATTCATTCCCTTCTTTTGCGATAGAAAATATTATAGCTTCCGAATCGCAAATGAGTCTTAATTTCTAAGCTTAATGAGTCTGGCTTTTTATTTATTTTTATTATTATTATTATTATTTATTTATTTATTTTTTTTTTTCAAAAAAGTTTCATTTTATGACGACAATTACTGCCATTTATTTGGCCATATTCGCGAAATGTCTTACCTGCGAACATACATGTCTATCCCATACAAAATTACACACAATGTGTATTATACATACACACACACAATGTGTATTATACATACACAGCCGACAGTAAATCTCCATATTTAAGGCGGATATTTTTCGTGGAGGAAATTGCAAAAATTCTATTGGCTACTTTGGCAATTTTTATTCTCTTTATTGGTTACGCTTGAATAATTATCATCAGAATAAGAAAATGAAAAAAAAATGTTCTCAGAACAGATAATGAATCACCACAACTAGATTCGTCAGAACTTTATAAGTGGGCAAATGAGAACAATTTTGTGTAGGAGTGAGTGTGTGTGCATGTGTCCGCTTTGCTTAATTGTAATTAAAGAAACCTCAAAACAAAATTAGAAACGTTTAATTGCGTTTATATGCATTTTTGAATAAATTTAAGAAGACTCTGCTATAAGAAGTTCATCTGAGAAAATTGTCTGAGAAGTATTTTTTTGCAAAATACTGTCTGAATAATGTCAATCTATGTTGAATCTGAAGATATTTTTATAATTTTAAATTTATTCCCGTAAATTTCACCGTATACCCTTCTTGAACTTTTTAATTAAGTTCTGAAGGCATTCATTTTTACACATATGTTTCATTAAAATGCAATATTAAAAATATTTGTTGTATGTTCTATCTTTCAGTTCCAGAGGAAAGTTGTTTCCTTCGCCCAAAGGGAACCCTTATTGTAGAGGTAAGTAAGATATTTATTATTCTCATATTCAAATCAAAATATACTGCATAATAAATTACCACTTGGAAGTTACGAAAGTGGTATAAGTCTTTGTATGATAGCGTAAAAATTGATCCTTTGCATTGCCAGAAGAAAAAAAATTGGCATTTTTTTAAAAGGTTAAAAGAAAAACTATAATATTTAGAAGTCATTTTATTTGCCTGAGTACGACAGCATAATCGGATACTTTAGGCTTTTTATATATTATAATATCTAAAACTGGTGGAGATATTTGAATATGTGAAGTTTAAAGAGTAATAAAGTCATTTCCCACAAGACCGACACTGATACTAACTTTTGTTAGAAAATTTTGTAAAAAATGTTCTAGAAGATGTGTCAAAAATCGGCGAACTCATTGTTATTTAGTATTTTTCGTGAACTTGCTGTACAAATAGGAACCCCAAAACAATATTCCAGCTTCATCCGTCCACCTTAAACCAAACTGTACTAAATTTAGTACCATCTAGTACAGTTCGCACACTTAGTACGTATTTCTAAAACCACCTACATATATATCAAATTTAGTTTCCAATCTTGATTCTCATATTTAAGAACCTTGAAGTTAGAATTTTCAAAAAATTCCTTGGTACGTCTATCCAGTTCTCCATCAAGGACTCTCATTTGAAATTTCACAATCATTCCGTTTGTCCAAGTGAAATTATTAAATTTTTAGTGTTTTTCGTACCCTCTTAGTACGAATTTGCCAAAACCCAGGCCGATCACACGCACCAAGATTGACTCTCGTACAAAATTTCAAGATTCTTATTTATTCTTATTAATTCAGTTATGGAATTCTGTATTTTGATATTATTTGATATATGAGGCACAGGATTTTTCTTAGCTCCTTTTATATCTATATCTATAAAATAGGAAAATGTTTGTATGTTTGTTTGTTTGTTTGTAATTTATGGACTCGAAAACCGCTGAATAGATTTTCCTGAAAATTTCCATATATACTGCAACATCGCCTGAAAGTAACATAGGCTATATACATTTTTGAATTTCCACTTGGAACTGGAGATATAGCATCAGAATCGGAGATACCTCCCAAAATTTTAGATTTTATATGCACATATCTATTGATTGGTTGAAGATACAGTCTCCAAATTTGGAATACGTAACGGAATTTGGAACAAAAATAAGTTTGCCAAATTATATTGTAATCGGTTCAGATTTAGATATAGCTCCCATATATATTTTCGACCGATTTCGTTCAGTTGATGCCTCAAACACAATTTGAATGTTCGATTCCAATGAAATTTGGAATGTGTAACGGGATTTAATCCGAAAATAAATTTGTCAATTTATATTGAAATCGGTTCAGATTTGGATATAGCTCCCATATATATTTTCGACCGATTTCAAGCATTTGATGCACCAAACACGCTATGTATCCCCAATTTCAATGAAATTTGAAACGTGTGATAGATTTTATCTAAAAAATTGATTTCCCAAATTATATTGAAATCGGTTCAGATTTGGATATAGCTCCCATATACATTTTCGGCCGATTTCATGTATTTGGTGGACCAAACACGACATGTATTTCCAATTGTAATGAAATTTAAAATAAGTAACGGAATTGGGAGCCAAAATGAATTTGTCAAATTAAATTGAAATCGGTTCAGATTTGAATATAGCTCCCATATATATTTTCGACCGATTTCATGTATTTGATGCACCAAAAACGCTATGTATCTCTAATTTCAATGAAATTTGGAATGTGTAGCGGATATTAAAACAAATATACATTTGTCAAATTATATTAAAATCGGTTCAGATTTGAATATAGCTCCCATATATATTTTCGACCGATTTCATGTATTTGATGCACCAAAAACGCTATGTATCTCTAATTCCAATGAAATTTGGAATGTGTAGCGGAAATTAAAACAAATATACATTTGTCAAATTATATTAAAATCGGTTCAGATTTGGATATAGCTCTCATATATATTTTCGACCGATTTCATGTATTTTATGCACCATACACGATATGTATGTTCGATTCCAAAGAAATTTGGAATATGTAACGGGAATTTGATTAGAAAATAAATTAGTCAAATTATATTAAAATCGGTTCAGATTTGGATATAGCTCCCATATATATTTTCCGCCGATTTCACATATTTGATGCACAAAACACGATACGTATTTCCGATTCCAACGAAATTCGGCATGAGTGGCTAAATTTGGTACAAAAATAAATTTGACAAATTATATTCAAATACGCTCAGATGTGATTATAGCTCCCATTTATATACTCAGCCGATTTCACATATTTGATGCACCCAAAGCGAGAGAGACAAAATCTGGCACCAGAAAAAATTGCCAAATTTTATTGAAATCAGTTTAGGTTTGGATATAGCTAACATATATATTTCGGCCGATTTCATACATATTATGCACCAAACACGATATATATGACCGATTCCAATGAAATTCAGAATGTGTGGCGGAATTTGGTTATAATAATAAATGTGATAAATTAATTGGAAATTAGTGAAGATTTGGATATAGCTCCCATATATATTCTCGGCCGATTTCACATATTTGACGCACCAATTTCAATGAAATATGAAAGGTGTGGCGGAGTTTGGCGTAAAAGTAATTTTTTTTAAATTATATTTAAATCGGATCAGATTGGGATATGATTTTAATAAGAACCATTGACCCACAACGCCTTAGGCTAACACTAAAAAACAACACAACAATTTATTTGAAATACGCTTATTACGGCGAAGTATGTTGCTATCTCGAATTCACTAATTGCAATAGAAATGCCACTCTACTTAAAGAATTGCAGTTTCCTGCATAGTATTTGCTATGAAATAAATAAATCCAAAGGACAAATCATTCGTGTATGCATGTCATGTTACTGCTTTTGTAATGATTTTGTTTATTAACGCATTAAATTAGTGCAATATTTTTTTTTTAATTTTTAAATTTGTTTTTCTTTATCCAACATATGTTCGTAAATAAAATTTTGAATGCATATAAAATCAAAAGGGGTAGCAAAGCGAACCGGGTTCAGCTAGTAATATCTAAAACTGGCGGAGATATTTGAATATGTAAAGATTAAAGAATATTAAGTCAATAGTTCCCATTTCCCAAAAGACCGACCCTGATACAAACTTTCTTTAGACAATTTTGTGGAAAATGTTCTAGAAGATTTGGCAAAAATCGGTGAAAAATCGTTATACCCTTCGGTACACAGTTGTTTAATAGTAATAGTATTATTCCCATGGGTATTTTTGTAATAATCCAACAAAAAAGAGATAGACCCTTAGATTCCGAGTTAATCTGCATAAAAAACCAAAACCTTCATATAAAGAATTAAGAGGTTTTCTAACAGAAATCCAAAACATCTTCTTAGAGAAGACCACAAGTTCTTCTTCAGAGAACACCACAGGGTCTTCTTCTTCATAGAAGACCACAAGGTCTTCTTCATAGAAGACCACAAGGTCTTCTTCATAGAAGACCACATGGTCTTCCTCATAGAAGACCACAAAGTCTTCCTCGTAGAAGACCACAAGCTCTTCCTCGTAGAAGACCACAAGCTCTTCCTCATGGAAGACCACAAGGTATCTTTACTCAATGTACTTCGTATATAAGAACATCATATCATCCCACAAAGTAGCAGAAGATCTTCCAATAGAAGGCACATAATGTCTTCTCATAAAAAATCAGAAGGTGTTCTTTTAGTTGATCCAGAAGATCTTTCCATGAAAGAACTGAAAGTATTCTCATAGAGCCAAGTACGATGTTTTCATAAAAAGCTGATGGTATTTTCGTGTTGGTGAGAGGGGTTCTACTAGAAGTGAGAGGGGTTCTACCAGAAAAATTGCAGTTCTTCTCCGAGATGCGTGACAGGTCTTCGTAAAAATCACCAGAAGGCAATAGATCAGAAGTTTTATAATAAATTACTAGAAGATTTTCTAATACAACACCAGAGTTTCCTCTCAAAGAATACTGAATGTTCCTCCAAAAGAGGATTAAAGGTTCCCCTCATAGAGGACTACAGGAAATAACCTGGTCGCTATTTTTATTTTAACAGGGATACCGATGGACATTTGGAAGTAACTTGAAAAATGCCAAAAAAAAAATCCATCGAAAAGACCGCTTAAATGAAAACCCTTATATGGGGGGGCTATACGAAAGTGTGGTCCTGCAAACGATTCTGAACTTCAAATGCGAAATTTGAAATATTTCCGATAATGTCGCTAAAACCAGAAAAATACCTAACATCGGGAGGTATCGTTATGTGGCTGCTTTAAGAGGACGAGGGCCTGCATATATATTTTTTGTCATTGTCTGGAGCACCCAAATACGAAATTTGAAACAATTCTGGTGAATAATACCGGATGTAGTTGAAGTACCTTTATATGGGGGCTATACGAGAACGTGGACCGACATGGCTCATTTACGAACTTCATCTGCCTGCTGGCAAAATACACGTGTATGCAAAATGTTAGTCTTCTATCTCAATTTGTTCGAAAAATAGCTGGACTACAACAGACGGACGGAAATTGCTAAATCGACTTTTACGCTAATCCGGAATATATATACTTTGAAGGTTTTAACATGAGTATTTCGAGGAGTGGAGGTAGAGAATAATAGTAACGGTATCACCCGATATTCGGTATTTTTAAGATTTTAACGACATTATTCATTTCATTTGAAGTTTGTAATGGATACTACAGCCTAAGACAGAAAATTATCTGTACAGGTCCACGTCTTCGTATAGCCCCCATATAACGGTACCCCCCGATATTCGGTATTTTGATGATTTTAACGACATTATTTACCTGAATCGTTTTAAATTGTTATTTGAAGTTCGTAATGAATACTACATACTTAGTCAAAAAATAAGCCATGTAGGTCCACGTCTTCATATAGCCCCGATATAACGGTACCCCCCCCCCCCCCTCCCCCCAATATTCGGTATTTTGATGATTTTA